AAAAAAAAAAAAAGAAGTGGATTTTATTCTCTCTCATTTGGTTTCTAGTCTTTTTGTATTTTTTAAAAAAATCTTTCTTCTCTCTTTCCCTCCAGCTGTCTGTACCAGTTTCCCAAAGTTATCATGATCCCCCTTTGTCTTCTAGCCTTCCTTCTAATCTCTTCCTCTTCTCCCACTTCTCTACTTTCTCTAAACTGTTTCAAATTTTAACCCCTGAGGGCAAAATTAACATAGCAAGGCCTTATATACTGCATATAATTTTCTGGTTTGTTTCAGATTTTGTTACATAACCACAAATCTAGCTCATATAGGTAACGGTGGCAAATCAACAGTTAGTTCAATTTGCCATTTCCTAGGCTATGACAGATGCTACTATGATTGCTACCGAAGATATTGGTATCATAGCCACAAGTGACATAACTGTTCTAAACAACTGTTCTTCTTGACATTCCACGAATGAGGCTAAGTCATTGAAAATACTGTGGCACAGTGCCAAAGAACCAGGAAATGAGGCCAAGCAGGTAGCAACTTCTCATCCCTAAAAAACAGCTGTGCCTTGAAGATACTTCAGACTGAAGTAGTCATTTCTTAAGGGTTTTAAATACTAGCAATAAAGCAACCCACCATAGGAATTTATAAGCATCATCCCAGGAATTAAGCTAAAAAAAAGAAGACACATAAACAAGATGCAACCTCAGACATTCAGTTTACAAGGCAAGGAGGTGGGACAATCCAAAAGCTACCAATAACTTCTCAGACAACTGCAGAGGTGTCCACAATGAAAATTATGCTTAGTGACTATAGAGCAGTTACATAGGAAAAAAAAAAAAAAAAAAAAAAAAGGAGCTTAAGAAAATGATGGAAACTATGGATGCTCAGTATAGGAAAAAAATGCAGTTCTTAAGGCAGACTCAAGCAGATACCCAGGAGAATAAAAATTCCATTGAAAGTATTTGTAGCAGGTTAAGCCAATGTAAAGATAGGATTTCATATACAGAAGACAGGCTTGCAGTTAGTTATAACGAAAAGAAAGATTTCTTAAAAACAGCAAGAGAGGGGCTGGTGAGATGGCTCAGTGGTCTAAAGCACCTACTTAGAACAAGCTTAGCAAAGCACAGGGACCACGGTACAATCCCCCAGCACCACATGCCAGCCAGCCCCGCCCCCTGGTGGGCTGAGCTGGCCACACACACACACACACATAAACATAAAATTTTAAAAAAAAGAAATTAAAAAACAAAAAACAAAACAAACAAACAAACAAAAAAAAAAACCAGCAAGAGAGACTAGGGAGATAGCTTGGCAGTCTAAGTGCCTGCTGGGCAAGTACAGGGACCCAGATTTGATCCCCAGTACTGTATGCCATGCCAGCCTCAGAATCCCAGGTCCCCATGCTGGCCACTGAAACTGGGTATGGTGACGTATGCCTGTAATCCCAGTGTTGAGGAGGCTAACACAGGAGGATCACTGAGTATGAGCTGCAGAGTGAGACTCTGTACCAAAAAAATAACAAGTCTTACTGGAGTCAATGAAAAAGAAGACATCACAAATGACCTATATACCAAAAAAACCAACCAACCAAACAAACAAACAAAAAAAACCAACAACCAAACAAACCCCTGTTCACAAACATCATGGCAGAAAACTTCCCTGGCAGAAAGAACAAGCTAAGAGAATGTTCTATTTTTAGGGTTAACTTACACACAAATGGCTGTTAATTTTTATAGGTTACTAACTTAAAAAGATGGCTTTGGGGCTGCCCGGCAAATATAAGAACCTGAGTTCGATCCCTGGTACTGCAGGCTGCTGTGCTGGCCCTGGAACCCTAGGCATGCCATACTGGCCACCGAAACCAGGCATAGTAATGCACACTTGTAATCTCAGCATTGGGGAGGCTGAGACAGGAGGATCACTACAAGTATGAGAGCCTGAACTGTGGAGTATACCCTGTATCAAATAAATAAATTAGGGTTTTGCTAGGCAGTTCAAGCTATCTTGGAACTCAGTTATTTCCACAGCCCCATAAAAATTATAGAATATATATTGTCACTGTAGGGCAGTGACATAGTTCAGTGGTCTAAAGAGCCTGCTTAGGCAAGCTTATGGAAAATCAGGAACCACAGTTAGATGCCTGGTACCTCATGCTGTGCCATCCCCACTCCTAGGGAGGGCTGAGCCAGCCACAAAAAGTAAAAAATATACTGTCACTATAAAACATTCACAAAGTAAAAGCTGTTAATGCCCACACTAAGTATAGTATGTAGTTTCTTTATGGAAGATAACTTTTTGAATGTGTATATTCTAGTATCTATACGTATGTTTATATTCATGCTACCATGTACTGTATATGCAGACCAGTAGCTCGGCAGCACAGAACTTGCCTGTCAACCACAAGGTCCTAAGTTTGAGTCCTGGTACTTCCACCTCCCCCCAAATATCTAACGATAGAATTTATGAAGCTAATGACAAGTGATACCTTGAACGATCACTGTCAGTTTTTCAGAAAAGCTCTAGTACCCTACCTTTCATACCACAACTTCACCAATATCAGGCATCACCTCAAATAACAACCAATGTGACCTCTTCATACAAGGCTTTTATTTGAAAGACTCCAAATACTTCCCTATGCCTATTAGCCATTTTTAGACTTTTATGTTTTTGACACAAGATCTTGCTATATATAGTGCAGACTTGAACTCAAGATGATCTTCCTACCACAGCCTTCTAAGCACTGGGGCTGTAGGAGTGTTATACATGTATTACTTAGTACAGGGTCTCACTACACAGCTCAGACTTATGATTCTCCTATTTTCAGCCTCCCCAGTGCTAATATTTCAGACAATGTACCACCATGCCTGGTCTCAGTGGCTCAGCATGCCTGGGGGCAGGGCTAGTGAGGCATGTGGTACCAGGGATGGGACCCCAGTCCCTGTGCTTGCCTAAGCAGGTGCTTAGTCCACTGAGCTGTCTCGCCGGCCCAGAAGTACCTTATTTTCCCATAAGAAGTATCTTCTTATAATCAAAAGTTCCACTATATGTTAATTCTATAACCTCTGTGGTAAATGACATACCATAGAGGAACTTTAAATGACACCATCAGAACCAACAAGGTTGAATACAGTATATATGGGGATGATTAAACTAGATGTGAATGTAGAAAAGTAAAGAGCATATTTTTCAAGGAGTTCAAGTGTGACGTTTAACAACTATATCACTAAGAATAGATTTCATACTCTCTCCACACACACAAAAAGGGATGCATGGTTTTAGTACTTCCATGTTTGTCATATCAAAATAGCATCAATACACATAGCATTTATCAATTAACAAAGATCATAGGGTTACTAAGGCTTGCAAGTTACAATAAAAAAATTGGTGTAACATTTAAATGAACAAAATGTTCACCCACCTCCCCTAAGTGTACTCACCTTTTGTGTTCATATTTTTCTGCTTTTGCTAATGCCTTTCCTGTTCCACTTATTTTTCTTATCTAAGAAAAATGAAAACTATCAGTCAATTCTAAGTCATAAGCTCTTTGTAATAGTATTAAGCTAACCACTGGACCTACATGACACCTCATAATTGTGTTATTTTTTACTTGGAATGGCATACCTTAATAGCAAGCAATGTTTAATAAGTCACTTCCTCAAGTATGCACTAAAATGCTATCATAAAAGAATGCAGTGGCAGAAGAATTGTACAAACCCCTAGATCACTCAGTTTGTTAATTTGCAGAAGGCAGGACATGATGCTTACCCCTCTATCTTCCAAGCTCCTCAACCTGGCCTCTAATTTGGCTCTGTTCTCAACTCCCATTGCGGAACTGGAATCTTCTCCAAAAGCATCATAACGAATAGCCAAAACTGTTTTGGCTGCCAGCATTCGGGAAATCTAAGAGCACATAGAAGAAATCAAGGTACGCTTCAACTAAGGATATAAAAATCAGAATACTTTATAAGGAAACTTGCAGTGGTTGGGGATATAGTCAGTGACATAACAGACTTCCTGGCAAGCGCAAGGTTCCTACTTTAATCCCCTGCACAAAAAAAGAAAATAAGCAAATCACATTAGATTGTAGGTTTTTTTGGGTTTTTTTTTGGGGGGGTGGAACCAGAGATTGAACTCAGGCCCTTGTGCTTGCCAGGCAAGTGCTTATTCTACTGAGCTATCTCCTGGGCCCCTCTAGAGTCTAAGATGAGAAATTATGAAACTAGCCTATTTCATAATTAAGACTAAGACTCACTGTAGTTTTTAAACTTTGCCACCACATAGTAACAGGCTCTTATATCACCAACATTTTGTTTTTCGTTTTTTTTGGGCCGGCTCTGTGTGCCCTCAGGTGGGGGTGGCACGGCATGTGGTACCTGTGGGTGCTGGGGATCAAATCAGGGTCCCCTGCACTGCCTAAGCAGGTGCTTTAGACTGCTATCTCACTGGCCCTATACCACGAACATTCTGGTAAATGAAAAGATCCTGTCACTTCACGTCTAAAATTAGCTTAATATCTTTAGGTTCAGGCCTGACTGCACATGCCTTTAATCCCAGAGCTGGATAGGCTGAAAACAGAAGGATCACTATGAGTCCAAGCTGCACAGTGAGACCATGTACCAAATACATTAAAAAAAGAAAAAAAGAATGTCTTTCTTTAGCTTCTACTCAATGACATTATATGTAAACCTTGGGTTTTCCAGAACAAGTACATCTTTTTCCAAACTGACATTTCATTTTATTAATACCTTATTTCTCCCTTCTGTCATTACAGTGCTATGAATTTCATAAAATTTCAGTTTAGGAGGCTGGTGAGATGGCTCAGTGGTCTAAAGCACCTACTTAGAACAAGCTTAGCAAAGCACAGGGACCGCAGTTCAATCCCCCAGCACCACATGCCAGCCAGGGCCGCCCCCTGGTGGGCTGAGCTGGCCACACACACACACACACACACACACACACACACACACACAAATAATAAATTTCAGTTTAATTCTGTTAAAACGGTACATCCATAGGGCCAAGAAGATAGCTCAAAAAGGGCCCATTTAGGCAAGCACAGGGACCACAGTTCAATCCCCGGCATCACCTGCCATGCCAGCCCCACCCCCAGGACAGGCTGAGCCGGCCACAAAACAAAAAACTGTACATCCTACAGAAAAGACTGAAAGCATTTTGTCTAAGCCCAAGTTTTCATCTCTGTAAAACAAAAGACAACTCTATCTGGTTACTAAGGATTCAGCAAAGCTTCTGCCAAATATGCAGCACAGTGTATACACTATTATTTCTGATAATCCAGAAATGCTACATCAGTTTCCTATAAACAGAATACTCTTGGTGTACACCTAAAGAAAAACAATAAAACAAAACAGCTGTAGCAGGACCAGTCACAATTTCTTATAATCCTTTCTTTTAGTGTACAAAAATGCTTTCTATCTACATAAGACACCACTCTCTTTAATGAGAAAGAGATCACAAAAGTATATGTGCAAAAAAAAAAAAGTATATGTGCACTAAAACAAGGAGAAAGACGTGAGCAGGCGGGAAGGTGCCTTACTTGGGAAGACCTGTGACTCACCTTTCCCTTGTGTTTGGGACTTGTCTGGCCTACCAAGGAAGCATGATAAATGAGGCCATATTTAGGAGTGTCCCGCCGAGACTTGAGGGCTCTGAAGAGTGCCTTTTCTGCTCCAAGAATCTGAACTGTAGAAGCTGCATGCTTGGCCAAATTCAAAAGAGAGCCTACAAGAAAAGCAAATAGTGATGAATAATGTATGGCCATGGATTTCTTTTTTTTTTTTTTTTTTTTTGGCAGAACCAGGGACTGAACTCAAGCCTTTGTGTTTGCCAGGGAAGCGCTTATTCTACTGAGCTGTCTCCCCAGCCCCTGTCCATGGATTTCAAAGTTTCACATATTAAACAGGAGACCCACAGTGTAAGTAGAGCTACAAAAATACATAAAATCTCAGTTAATATAGGATCCTGTAGTCTTATATTGAATCCCTTGAAAGTCCTAACATTTCACTTATGACTTAACACAAGATTTGTGGTGAAAGTTTGTGACAAACTGAAGGTTGAGCTTACTTAGCTCATTAATACTTGTTTAGGTAAGTACTATATTTTTGTTCTATATTAATTAGTATACCATAAGAACTATGCAAGTACACAGCACATGCATTTATCTCATACCAATCTGGCCCCATTTTCTGAGACTTCTAAATATCAAATATTCCAAAGCTTTAAATATGTATTAGGATATCTCAGTAAAATAGCTAAATGATAAATAATTTACTTTATTTACTTTTCCTTTCAATATGGATTAGGGAGATGATAGGCCCAAAAGTATATAGACTGCTATGTTATGATTTACTGCAAAATACTCTGAGAATATTTTCTCAGAAAATCCAGTGCTATGAATTCAACCAGTAGGAACAGGTTTAAAGTGAAACAAAAATAGTATTCCCATTAATCACGCATCTCTTACTGCTCCATGTGTGGCTCTACTATGAAGCTGTGGTCCAGGCAATGCAACCAGCTGAGATGATCATGATCTTCAACCAGGAGTGCTTTGCCAGAATGTATGCATGATTAATGAGGCAGTTCAGTGTCAGTCTACAGACTTTGATGATATGTATATATAATCATCCATGTCAGAGTGTAACAATGTCTCTAGGAATATAAAGTAAATACTTAATATTTGCAGGTTTTCAAATATAGTAATTTTTAATCACAGCATATTATTCTTATAGTATTATACATGTGTTTTAATTTTTTTTTTTTTTTTTT